AAACTTTTCCTTCTTTGCTGTGGAAAATAATAAAAAATAATTTTCTCCTCCTCGTAATATAACAGGAATTGTAGTTTTGTTTCAAATTGCTTACAAATATTTACTGAATTGTCTCATCAGGTTAAATGATCTTTCATTCAGTCGTTCTTTCTATTGTCCCGTTTAACAAAGCTGATTTCCTTCATTCTCGTGCCGTTTTTCAGGATTGGGAGGTCCGTTACCATCGGGACACTCCGCTCACCCCAAGGCAAGATGTAAATGCGCCTGATCTTTACATACCTAGTAAGTTAACTGTAACCGTAAAGTATTTAGCATTGTGTTCTGTTTATTTAGGGTTTATTTCTTTGTCTCACAGGCATGGCTTTCATTACATACATTTTACTGGCTGGAATGGCCCTTGGTATTCAAAAGAGGTGAGGGTTTCCTATTTTTCTGCTGGGGCGGGGTTATTTCATCTTGGTCTCTGGTCAGAAAAGCACATTAAATGTTTTGACTCTGTGTTCAGGTTCAGTCCAGAGGTTCTTGGACTGTGTGCCAGCACTGCCCTCGTGTGGATCATCATCGAGGTCCTGATCATGCTGCTGAGTTTGTATTTACTCACCGTACACAGCGACCTCTCTACCTTTGATCTCATCGCATACAGCGGATACAAATATGTCGGGTAAATACAATTTATGATGGACAAACTTTTAAAAAAAAAGACAATTTAATCCACCTCTTGTCCCCTGTTTTATAGTTTGACAGCTTTCTCTTTTTATTTTGTTTTTTGTTAAATGTTATGTGGAATAGACCCACCATGTGTTTATATTTATATTTTGTTTATATTTTTCCTAGAATGATCTTCACAGTGTTGTGTGGCTTATTGTTCGGCAGTGATGGGTATTATGTTGCCCTAGTGTGGTCCTCTTGTGCTCTGATGTTCTTCATTGTAAGTATCATTACAGGCTTTATCATATAAACTAAATGAAATATTGATTTTATGAAGGTGTTAAGAAAAATAATAATTGAGGTCAGTTTTTCAGTCTAAATACAATATCAGTTTACTATTAAGATGTTACTTTTATGTTCTTACTAATACGCTTTTTTTGGTCTTTTGGTCTTTAAATTGAAATTTCAAATTTTCCAATCAGAGCCCCAAAAGTACTTGTTCTACAAACTCATTTTAATTTACTAATTAATGCTATTTTAGCTCATCAGAATTTTAACTGAGTCACCATCACCTCATTTTGCCGTCTACAGTCGACCATTTATTAGCATTATTTTGCTGATGTTTTGCATTGATCAGATATAAGGCATTTTAACGTGATTAAATGTACAGCAAAGCTATTGTTGACAGAGAGCAAGTGACTCATTGTTTTTTAGTAAAGGAAAACCCATTAGAAATTCTGAAACTGTTTGTACGTTGTAATTTTCTATCCTGTAAAAATATGAGCAAATATGTAACGCATGGAATTAGGGCTGAAACAATTAATTGGATTAATCATGATTATTCAATTTTAGTAATTGATTAATCATAAACTGGACTATAGACTCTTAAAGAAATGCTTTTATCTGTCAAAGGAACCATTTCAGAGTAGTAATTCTACGAAAACTGTAAAAGGAAAAAAAATTAAAACCTTTTGCATTTAGGATATAAAAAATATTTTTCTTCTGTCAATATGCTCTATCCAGAACTCCTCGAACGGGAAAGTTTTAGTTCCACCTGGTTTAATGTTTTAAAAAGTACTTTATAATGAAGCTTTGGCTAGCTGATTAATAATCAATTAATCAAAAAAGTAATTGACTGATTAATCGATTTGCAAAATAATCTTTAGTTGCAGCCCTACATTGAATCCCACAAGGCTCCATTCATGTGCCGCCATAACTCATGTAAATCCCTTTGAACTAATCTGTTGGAAACAAAAGAAAGGAACAGCAAGTTTGCATTTTAGCCCAGTAATTATGGAAGGTCTTGGATTAATTAGGTTATATCATCACCTAAAACATAGGCATGCATAGTTTTGAAGGCATTTTTCTTTGTACTGTACATTTTTATTAGAATTTCTAATGAAAAAAGGATCCTAAATAAAATGTAGTAAAGTGAAATGTAAAAACAGGTTTACACAGACCTGTGTAACAGGAATGGTACGTGCCTAGCAAAGAATTAAAGTTTGTCCTTTAGGGTAAATATTAGCTATTAACTTTTGCTTGGTAGGTTAAAAAGTAACATTTTTCAGCTTATAGCAGCTCTTAAATGTTGTTATGAAACCAAGTAAAGTATAAAGTTGTTAAGAATGTATAAGAAAAAAGTTTGGCCGTAAATTATATTATAAATGCTTATTTGTCGCTGTATTTTTAATTAGATTTCTTGATCATGTCTGTATTCAGATGTTCTGTGTGTTTGAAGGAAAAAAAGTGTAATATTCAAACATTGCAATAAGAGCTGATGCGCTGCCCTTTAGGTTGCTCTCTACTTTCAGCCAGTTTAAGTTTTTAGATTTTCTGCCTTAATAAACAAATAATTCTCCTGTAATGGATGTGGGCTTAGACTGTCAACATTTAGCTTTAGCTTGACATTTAGCTTGACCTTAACTTGTAGTTAAGGTCAAGCTAAACTGTTTAATGCACTGTTAGAGAGAGTTCAACTTTGCAGTACTGCTTTGGAAATGCTCTCTGCGCTTTATGGAAAAATAGCTTCTAAACATCTAACAGATCTGAATAAAAGTCTTTAAGGAATTTCTATTTTTGTTTTGTTGATACTGTGCTTATACAGGGTTTCCACGGGTCATTAAAAATCATTAAAGTCAATAAATTATTATTTTTTAAAGTTGTATTGAAGTCATTTAAATGTCAAATCCTTCTGGCTTAAACATGTATATAAATGTACTCTTTATTAGACAATATTCTCCCTAAAGTTAGAAAATTTCTAATTTAAAAAAAATCCTGTCTTAAAATCTGTTATTTTTGTCGTTATCTTATGCAGGCCAGTTAGTTATACTTCAGATTGTACACCTAAATTAAGCCAATCACATATCAACGGTCATCTGTCAATCAATTTTTTTCATTCATAGCATCTTGATTCATATGTCCCAGCTAATATATGCAACGGCTGAAATAAGAAATAAGAATAATCTAAGGCGCAGAGTTGGGCGAATAAAGCATCCAAATATTTATGGAATCAGCCTTAAAATGAGCTACATTTGAGAGAACCGGCTCACCTGAGGGGTTAAAACAAATTTTTTACATTTTATATGTTTAAAATCGAAGGCGAATATATTTATAACCGCTACTCCTGGATTTCAGCTTCACATTTCTCAGGTTGACATTATTGCTTCCTTTGCAGGTACGATCCCTGAAAATGAAGATCCTTCCCTCCATCTCCTCGGACTCGATGGGAATGGGATCGAATAACAAGCCCCAACTCCGACTTTATATCACTGTGGCAACCGCAGTCTTTCAGCCAATCATTATCTACTGGTTAACCTCCCACTTAGTGAGGTGACTGTGAGGTTCGATTAGAAAATAACTGGAGTCCAACAGGACTGGATCCAGGCCTGTGGTGGTTAACTGTTTGTAAACTCGCCCTTTTACTGTTTTGGTAACAAATATAAGACATCTGTGGATGCTGTTAAGCTGCAGAGTGTGTGAAGTTTTTTCAGCTTCATCTGATTAATCAGACGGCGTAAAACAAAGTCTCGCTCTCTGTTGTGTGTGATTGTGAAGTAACGCTGACAAAAGCTTGAGATTTCAACAACTAACTGTAAACATAAGGGCTCCCAGTGACAAGTTTTCTAATCAGTTTTGATCCTGTGTCCAAACTAGCTTTTATATCGTGTCTCTGGACATGCTGTTCAGTGTTTAAAGCAAACAGTACACCAACATCATTACGCTCATGATTCAAGACAAGTTTTTCTGGTGTGGTAATGTTGCAGCTTTGGATTTTATTTATCTACATTTGAATGAAGCATAAGAACGTTTTGAATTTTGTAGAAAACAATAAACATACTTAGCTTTGTGTATTTACCTTCGTTTTTTTCTCTCTTTGTGATAAATTTACTAACATTATTCCTCTAAGATGTAATGAATTAATTAATCCTGATGTCTTCAAGTAAAATGCAAATGGATTATGAAAGACCAAGAGAGTCACTTTAAATCATATGACTAGAAATCCAGTTTTTAAAGCTCTTTCTAGTTGTATGTTGTGTTTTAAATTATTACAGGAATTGTAAGTTTTATTAATTATTAATTAATCCAGAATTTAATGCTTCAATTTCAACATGTCTTTTTAAATCATATTACTGAGTGGAGCTTAAAAACAATTCATAAATTGAATTATAAATACTTTTCCAAATCACAAGTAAAAGATAATTCTTTTATTTTTTACTTTGTATTTTTAAATCATTTTCGCAGCTGTCAGCTCTCTCATTGGTTAGATTGTATCACATATAGCATTTTTTTGAGAATTTGGAAACAGTTGCTCTTTATTTCCCAGAGTTATGGATGAAGGAGAGGAGAGGAGAGAATGGATATGTGTCTATTCATCTCTTCGTCAACAACAAATTCTGTGATTTTGTAGCAGTTGCTCCTTATTTGCCAGAGTAATGAGAGGGGAAACCTATATATGAAATAATCCATTCCCCCTCCATGACATAGGGCCTTATTTTTTAAATGAAATGAATTACCTTTTTAAATGTGTTTTTTTTTTGTCTTTTGAACTAGGATTTGAAAATGTTTTTTTCAAATTCCTTTGTGTTCCAAATGTGGTTCAGAAAACAAGGGGCCATGACATGTTTAGTAGAAGCAAAATACGGGCAATTACAGGTCTAACGCCTCTAGTGGCCAAAACGGTGTGCCTTTAATAATGGATTACTGAATATTAATTTTTGCAATTCCTGCGATTAGAAAGGTTTTTTTGATTGGATTTTAAGTTGTATAATCATTTAAAATGTTTTTTCTTTCTTTTTCATTTTCAATAGCTGCGCTTCATTATAAAAGTGTGCAAAACTATGTTGATATTCTGCTAAATTTTGCATTTGTAGTATTTCAATTATATAAAAAATACAATGACGCGTGAATACAGCATGATGGAAGCACAAGATATTTTCATATCTCAGCCGTGGCTCTAGTGGACGCCATCATACCGCCGGTCATCTAGACCTTTTCACAAGGCAGTTAAGTTCCGCAACAGATCATTTCACTTTTTTTCTTTGTAGTTTTCTTTTTTGTTATTTGATAGTTAATGGAAACACAGCTAGTGACCCTCTTGGTCTTCCATACTGGACATCCTTTCTTTTCTAATGCTAAAACCTGAAACACTCAAACTATTCATGCAAACAAATAATTGTTTTAAATTAACAACAAAACACTTAAAACGAGAATCAAACTTTTCTTTTTGTGTAGGGTTAGGATTGGCAGGTCCTTCATTAGAAGGTGATGGGAAGTAACAAAGTACAAATACTTCGTTACTGTACTCAAGTAGATTTTTCTGATATTTTTACTTCACTACTTATTTTTATGGCGACTTTTTACTTCTACTCCTTACATTTTTACGCAAATATCTGTGCTTTCTACTCCTTACATTTTAAAAAATTGGCTCGTTACTTTAGTTTTGAATCATTTCAATGGAGTTACCTTTATTATTTTTCATGTCATCAATACCAAATTCAATCTAATTGGATGGGAATCTACGTTGCATTTGACGCACCACTACAAGATGAATCGACAGATTCGGTGGTATTCATTCGCGGCAAATCATTGCAGCTTGGTGGCGGTGGCGTTACATAGTAGTATGGACGACGAGATGATTGAAAATGAACACAACGGAGATCTAGTCCTATTGGCAGACATCCATTTAAAATGTAGGCAACGGCATGAAAAAAGTGGTTTCTACTTTTATTTTTATACTTTAAGTAAATTTACAAGCCTGTACTTTGTTACTTTTACTTGAGTAAAGAAGTTTAATCAGTATTCCACTTTTACCAGAGTATTTTTTAACACAAGTATCTGTACTTTTACTCAAGTACGGAAAGTGAGTACTTTTGCCATCTCTGCAATGAAAGTAACAGGATCTAACTGTGGCAGGTGTGTTTGGTAGTCTAGGAGTGTCATTGGGCACTTTGCATTGATTCTCTTGATTCACTTAGTTTGAGCGTGAGACCATCCATGGATACCATGAGTTTATTATATATTTCCCCCTGTTCATGAAGAATCGGCACGAATTTGGAGAGGAAAATAATCAGAGCTACTGGACTGTCACATTTATCAGAAATACATTTTCAGAAGTAGTCTTGCTGTAGGGTAATATAACCTGTTTGAAATTTAAAACGATATTATACTCTGTCAGACATTGATAGAGAATAAATCTGCATAATGCAATCCTTTAGTCAAGAAATAATTATGGATCTCTGATTTCTTTTCTGAGTCTAATCTTCACAAGATGTTGGTTAAGCTTATCTCGTGTTGCAGATTTAAATAATTTGAGATAGGAACTTACATAGTTCCTTGTTTAAAGGTAACTAAAAATGTTCACCCTTATGATTTCTATTTATGATTAATCCATTGAAATTGAGCAAATCATCTTAAGTGTTAAAAATGCTGCAAATGACTTAATTTTGAGAAGCAGTGTTTTGTTGGCACAGACATACATTATATAGATATGGCAATATATCAAGACAATAATGTTCAGTTTTATGTATTTTCTATTCATCACAATTTCAACATTTTATTTAAGAAAACTATTTTGCATCTTCCTGTTAGTAACTGTCAGTCATCACATATAGTGTAAAAGTTTTGTAGCTTGTGTCATATAAGGTGACAAGAGACTTTCATTCCACCAATTAAATGACAAAGGTATGCCATATAGCTTCTGGTGAAAGCTGTTATTAAATTTTTTCTTTTTATTTGACATTTGTCATAACCTTGAACTAACATAACAAATACAGTAATAGATTATTTACGTTGGTTTACTATAACTGGAGTGGAAAACGCAATGCATGCTCTTTTCAGGACAAGTTCTGTGAATTATGGAAGGAAGACAAATTTGTTTCTAGTCAAGTGATCAATTAATCTTCTATTTAATTAGAGGGACAAACACTGCTTGATCTGTTTAATGTAAATAACCACAAACAATCAATCTAGATGCAATAGATCTGTTAAAAATATATATTTTTCATATTATTTTGATAATATGAAAATAACAATTTGTGCTCGTTGTTTGACCAGCTTTTAACAGGCCAAATATACCTAAAAGGGTTTGAACTATTTTCAATCTTTTACTATATCATTAAAATCGAGCTGTTATTTAACAAGTGTAAAGAAATCCCTTCAGTTTACATCAAACATTTAAAAAGAAACCTTTTGAATTGTAATATCATGATCCTTTTTGCGTGTTCAGCCATATTTAAAGTTTGACGCGCGTGATCGCCTCGGGAGCGCGCAGCACGCAGAGCGTCCTCGCGGTTTCCTTGGTAACCGCAGATATCAACAGCGCTCGGAGGGAGAGGTGTCCGACTGCGACTCTTGAGCTTTAAACCCCCTCAGGTTTGACCTTTCCCTTCTTTCCGAGCTGAGTGGGACTGTGAGGGAGAGCCGTCCTCTTTTTGGAACATCTGGTGAGTAACTGGCTCATCTTTACATGTTTAAGGAGCGAAAACTTGCAGCAGCGAGAGGGTTACCTGCGAGGAGAAAGGCGGCTTTCTTGAATAGCTCATTGAAACTTTATATTGCTCCACCATTTGCTTTCTGCAACTCTTTGCAGAACCATGTGGTTTCATGCAAAGTTATAGAGCTTTATAAATGCAGCTTCTAACAGCCAGGGTGAAGCTAAATATTATATTTTTGTTCTGGATCCACCGTCTAATAGCTGCACCTGTTCATTATAATAGGTTGATGGAAATGTGAGTCTGGACTTTGAACAAAGAGAAGATGCTCATCAGAGGGGAACGGCTGGTAAACATGTAACTGATCCAACCTTTGATGTCAGAGCAGTTTTTTAAAGTTAAATTGTATTTTTTTTTTTTTTTTTTTTTTTTTTTTTTTTCCATGGGGGCAAAAAAAAAATATTACACATGCAAACGTGTACGACTGAAGCTTAAAGCTAACTGCTACTGAATAAGTGAAGTCAATTATAAAGGCAAACTAGTAAATTGGTCCAAAGGACAAACAAGTTATGCAGGGGTGGATCTAGAGGGGGGGCCAGGGGTGGCCATGACCACCCTTACCCAATCATTGGCCACCCCTACCATATTTTCCCTCTAATACAGAAGGTGGCAGCAGTAATACTCTGAAGTGGAATGTTCAAACTTATTAAACATTTAAATTTTTTATATATTAACAACTGCTTGACAACTGAAACCCTGTTGTTAATTATGCACATCAATATACAAACATTAAAGATGATAGATACAGAATTCCTGCTCTTTTCAGAACTAAATTTTGAATTATTTAGGGTACAGTAAATATAAACTTATGTGCCTCTGTAAGTCATTTAGAAATCTTCAGTGAAATCATAGATAAATAACTACTTAAATAATAATATAAAAATGCATTAAATAAGGAAATTAGTAGATTTGAATATCTTTTTTTTTTTTTGCAGAATGATTATTGATAAAAGTAGGTAATGACAAGGTAAAATATGTTCGCCCCAGAACTCAAACCTGAAAGAATTTTGTCCGCTATACATTTTATTTACACAACATAGATGTTTAAATATATGCATCTATTTGTTAGCAAAGGCTGCAGGAAAGTATAGTTTTTCTTTTTTTAAATTGGACAATTATGCACTTAAAATAAGTTAATGGATATTTTTTCTTTCTCCAAACATAGATGATTTTATCAGTTTAGCAAATTGTCTAACCTGCTCAAATCAAGGGCAAATACACTTATTTCACGGATTGAAATGACCTGTACATATTTAATTTTTTACAGTGTATGTTTTCCCTGTCTATAACACCCATGCTGACCAGCTTTCCCAGCTTTCAAAGCAAAACCACTCCCAAGGCATAATAGTGCCATCACCAAGTCTCATGGTGGAGATGGTGTGTTCAGGCTTTTCCTTTCCACCATCTTCTCTCATCCTGTACATCTTCTTCCAGCTGTTCAGGATGGCTTGTAGGAAACTGCATTCATGTGGGTTTCTTCCAACAACATGTTTCTTCTTGCTACGTTTCCAGTTAAGCCAGACCTGTAGACTTTATGCCCTGTTATCATATTCACCCACCTGAGCTGTAGTGGTCTGCAGCTCCTCCAGAGATGATCCTCATGCAGCCCAGGCTGTCAGTTTAGGCAGACATGTAGGTTTGTTTACATTTGTGCCAAACTCTGAATTTATGGATGATGCTGTATGTTTTTTAATGTCCTCAAACAAAACACCTGTGGCTGCTGTACCTACGTACACTGAGACTAGATTACTAGTGAGTTTTATTTACAAATTAGGAGATTTCTGGAGGAAATTGATTGCATTGGATTTTATTAGAATAACAGGGGCTGTAATGCGCACACCAAGGAGTTATCCACTCGTTTGTCTTGGACTGTCATATAAAACCGCTATAAAATGTACTGAAGCTTTAGTGTGTAATTGTAACAAGAGTAAATGTTAAAATACAACTTAAAGGATAGCAGTTATCACATATTTCCAAAATCTACCATATTTTCTCCGTTTTGCATAAGACTTATTGCATTACCATAGAGCCCCTACTAAGAGTCTTTTCGTTTTGCTGTTAATTGTTAATGTTGTAACTGAGTTGGTTTCAATTGTATCTTGCAGCCAGACAGCTGAATGAGTCTGGATCTTTGCCCTAAGAGAGATGGAGAGCAGCTCACACTTATCGCAGCCTTTCTCATCATCTCCCACTTCTCTGAACCTGACCTCCTCACCACAGCTCATCTCATCAAATGTTTCTCTCCCACCTTCACCGATCTCGTTCCCGCCGTCCCCTGCTTCCCTCTCTTCAGCAACAGCAGAGTCAGCTCAGTCGTCCTCACCTGCTTCAGACTTTGCTGCCTCTCGTTGCTTCGAAATACAAAGCACTCAAAGCCCAGGACAGGTGAACACATCTGACCAGGATGACCTGACTTGCTTAAGCTGGCTGCACCAGAGAGGTGATCTGCTCCCTCTGCAGCTTCTTGCCAAAATGACGCCACTGCCCAAGCAGCAGCCCTGCATGCCCGCTGCCTCCTCCAAGCCGCCGTACTCCTTCAATTCCCTCATTTTCATGGCGATAGAAGATTCTCCTCAGAAGAGGCTCCCAGTAAAGGACATCTATGAATGGATTGTGAGCAATTTTCCCTACTACAGGACGGCCACTGGTGGTTGGAGGAACTCAGTTAGACACAACCTGTCGCTTAGCAAAAGCTTCCGTCGCATTCAGAGAGACAAGAGCCAGGTATTTGCACCATTTCTAAGAAAAGTTGTATGATTAATAGCAACTTAATCCAAATATCGTTGCTTTCAGCAGCTACTCATCCACTCTTCTCTCTTATAGGAAGAAAATATATAATATAATCCCTGTTTTATTGTCTATATTTGACATAATCTGGGATTTTCTAAAGTAAAAAAGTAGATTTTTGTGTCCTTTGCAGTCTACAGGGAAGGGGTCGCTGTGGTGTGTGTGTCCACAGTATCGGCCGGCACTACTGGAGGCTCTAAGGAAGACCCACAGTTATCACAGCAACAACAGCAACCTGATCAACAAGCCCACACTGTGAGTACAATCAGAGACTGGGCCAGTTTCAGACCAGCGAATGCTAAAACATTACAATTATTCATTTGTTATATATTTATTCAAAGTTGAAACAGGTGTAAAAACGGGGCTCTTATTTACTGTGTGTTAGAATGAGTAAACCGAACCTTCACCATGAACTAGTCCTCTAGGCAGATGAGTCTGAGGAGACGGTTTGCAGTAGTGCTGATCTGATCTGATCTGATATGGTTAAGGAGGAGCTCAGCCAAAAAGTTAGGCTCTTATTTTCCTGGCAGACCTCAGACCCTCATTTCATCAGATTATCTACATTTTCCATGGTTTCAGGAGGGATATATTGTTAGAGCCCTGGCAGATCTTATAGCCAGAACCAGATAGAAACTTCTGCTTTATTGTGTCCATCCACCCAGAGGTGGGTAGTAACTAGTTACGTTTACTCAGTTACATTTATTTAACTAACTTTTTTAGAAAAATGTACTTTAAGGATAAAATTTTCTGCATCATGCTTTTTACTTTTACTTGAGTAAAAATATGATCAAGCAGTGCCGCTCTGACTTGAGCACAGTTTTTACTCTGCCTTCCTCTGTATCCATCCATCTTTGCCTGCCTGTCCATGCATGCTCACAGAGCTCTGGTGTTATTTTGAGGTTTGGCATCTGAATGAAAATAAAAAGTCAAACCTGTTTTGATTTTGATTTCTAAATGCATACATCTAATAAACTAGCTCTCATATTTTTAAAACATGCTTATTGATATTTTTTAACAACATCATCAATTGCTTTTTTCACATTTTTCTATAACTATTTGATAACTTGCTGAGAAACTTCCCAGAAAACCTCTTGTTTTGGATTCAATGTCTTAATCCTGCTGTGTGGTTTGCAGGTTAGATGGATCCAGCCATGAGGTACCTGCAGTGTGTGACACAGTGGAAATCTCAGGTCAGTATGGAATCCTGCGTCAGGTTTTTGAACCCTCCATTTTCTCTGGGTTTCTTAGAGCGTGCAGCTTTTTGTCAGAGGAGAAGCGACTATCTATGGCATTTTTACCACTTGCAGCTTTTGTCTAGTCTGCAGCTTTTTCAGCAAGCAGCATTGTTCTTGTGTTTGTTTTCCGTTTCTACGGTAACCGTCTTATTTCACCTTAGTAACACACTCAGCTCATGTTATGCCTAAATCTTTGCTCTTAAGGACCCCAAGTGTTTGCCCCGGTATCTGATGACTGCTGCTCCAATCTGCTGGTCTCATGCGAAAGTTAAAAATATTATTTTCTCAGTTGTGAATTATTTTCTTCTTTATCCTACGCAGACACTCTTTCTCACTCCCTGCTGCTCTCCAGTTCCTCTCCCCAAATCCACACGGTTTTCTCCGAAGACATGTTGTGCCCTTTGACCCCGGATCACGAGGAGCTGGTTACCATGGATTCTACTGAATACCAGCCGAACGAGGTCAGCGAAGAAAAGGACCCGCTGTCTGACAGCGGGTACATCGAGCTGCATTACTACGAGTCCGACCAGTGCCAGTACCTGGTGCTGCCAGAAGAATCTGAGCTGGACCTGGAGACTGTGGAGATCCTGCAGCTGGACGTGGAGGCCCAAGAAGCGGCCGGGTCCCTGCTAGACCTGGCAGGTGGCGGATATTAGCTCACGTCATTTGAGGGGAGTGGTAGCCTGGTGGTTAGGGCATTGCGCTTGGAATCTAGAGGTTCTAAATTCAAGTACCACTCCCACAGACTGCCACTCTGGATCCCTGAGCAAAATACGCTTAACCCCAGACTGCTCCTCTGGCACCCCACGATGGCAGCCCACTGCTCCCCAAGGGGATGGGTTAAATGCAGTGTTCATTTCGTTGGTCTGCACTTGTGACAGTGTAATAACAATAAAACGCTGGACAAAAAAGGAAAAAAAAAATGATGACAAACATTACAGCTACTATCATATCTACATATGTCTAAACCCAAAGTATTTCCTCCTAACATGTCCACACTGCCATGGAAATTGTATTAAGCTCCGAAATATTAGCTTAGATCTACAGACGAAACGAAGTAAAAACCCATGTGTATTCAGGCATGTTGGACACCCAAGCTCAACTCATCAAAGATCAGAACAAATATTTTTAATTCTAAAAGTATTAAAAGTAAACTTTTATCGTATTTCCTGAATGTTTAACAAAAGCGCTTCCAAACTCAGACAGTTCATTGTTACTGTTACGCCTTGGTTACAGTTTCTTAAAGTCAAGTATGAAGTTCATACAGATCAAAAAGAAACCGGGAAACTTACTTGCATAAATGGAGTTTCATATATATTTTTTATTATATTCAACTTTTTTGCAGACTTTTCTGTAACAGGTGTTTCTAAAAGTATTTTGGGAATATATTTAATTTATTATGTTCTTATGATGATAAATGTACCCCGGTAGTATGGAGGATCAATAATAATAGGATTATAAGTAGTAATATTTATTATTTCCATTGATTTCTTACTTTTCCTTTTCTAATTGTTAATAATACATTTAACTAATTATTTTCACAAAAGGTGTTTTAACGTTGATGTTATGCATGTTTTTGAATCTCAAGCTTCCTTTGATCTCACTAATTTTAAGAATTTTTAACTTAATTCTTTTTATTCAACATTGCTTTCTATGTAAGTTTGATCCAACCACTGCCACTAGTTAAAATATTTTTACTGTAGTTAACTCTGTTTCTCATTTTCTGTTGTTGTGAAATAAAATCTGTATTTTATTCCTTCAGCATCATATTTTACGCCTCCCCTTTTTTTTTTATCTCAGCAAACAAGTCATTAGAAGATGATGAGATCAGTACCAAACCTCAAAAAGAAAAAGTTTAATGTTTGCACCCCAAGTTTCAGGAAGTATGATGAAACTATGCAGTAATACTAACAATATTAGAAATAGTCTACTTTCTATCAATCTCTTGATTCCTTTAGATGTTCTGCCTAACACCTTGCGTGTGTGTGTGTGTGTGCTTTATTTTTAATATTGTCCAATTTTTGATTCCCTAAAAATCTGAACATTTTTAAGAAAGTTTTCTTTAATCAGCCTTAACTGTTTTGTTTAAATAAATTGGATATACCCAATGCAGGGTAAACAGAAACCTTATATTTTTAACGATAAAAGCAACATCTTTTTTTGTTGCTTTTTTTTTAGATGCAGTATTAAAATATTGACCCACATTCCATCTACATTGGTTGCAGAAGATTGCTGATTAACTGTAAAACAGTTGGAATTTATTTCACTGGGGAATTTTGTTCATTTTTTTATTTTTTAACAACAAAAATAGAAATCATGAGAAGAAAAATAGGTAAAAATTTAACAGTGATCAATTTTTAATAGCATTTTTAATTATTTTTTATTTTTTATTTTTTTAGAAAACCTTTATGTAAGTCATAAAATGAAGATTTGAATCAATAACTCCACCGGGGGGCGCTATATCCACATAACAACTTACTACTACTATTTCTCATCAAACGAATACTGGTTGCTTGGATACCGTTTCCTCCTCCGCTTTGAAAATCTTTTGGATGAGATTTGGTTAAACGCAAAGTAACTACTTTACATTACCTCCTCGGTCGTTGCGTAAAGATCACTTCCACTAAAAAGAAACTACATATCCCATATTTTATTGATACGTTTGACGCAAAGGGGCATGTAGTTTTTAAGAGACTCCAATCGGATGAAACAGGCAGAGTTACGAACTACATTTCCCATCTGGCGTTTCGCGGGCCGAAGGCGGAAGTGGGCAGTTCAGTTGTGGAAAAAAGTTCTCATGACTGTTTTCGTGTCAGTGAGAAAAAGTTAGTCGTTTGTCGACTCCTGTGTGTCTGTCGAGGCTTCTTAAATACAACGAGGCACCGTGAAACTTAAGCTAAAACAAGCAGGTATGTTTTTATCGACTTATTTGTCCGGAACGCAATGGAGTTCGGGATTTTCAACTCCGCGCGTGTTTAATAGCTAGTTCCTTGTTTTGTTTGAACGTGTAGCATTTTTCCCCCCCCAGACCTGTTAGCTTAGTTAAACAGGCTCGGATATGTTCATGTCAAAAAAGTGGATATATGTGTAACTTCACTGCACCGTACTCACTCTACTAGCTGTTAAGCTGTCACCGATGTGGTTTTAAATCCTGTTTGTGTAGTATAGTTCTGTTTTTTTTTTTGTTCTAAATGATCCTCATTGCCATCCAGCCTGCTCTGCAGAGAATTGTTGGCATGATGATCCTCAAAGCCACACCTTTAAGGTGCTTGAAAGCAGGGAGGGACCTTAATTTGACGACACACGGTATCATTTTTGTGTTTTAATCATTGCTGTGATGAAAGACGGTTTTCCCAAGTCTGCCAACAAAGCGCCCCTTTGATGCAGAAAAAAACCATGACCAGATTAGTGAGGGCATGCTAAATCCATAAGCTGCAGGCAGAGCAGCATGACGCAAATATGAGCAGCCCACAGCCAGAGCCACACACAGCTAAACTGTCTATCTGACAGACTTGTTGGAATAGTATTTTCATACCTGCAGGGTGAGTCTGCAGCAGCTATTTGCTATTAATTATGAAGAAGATCAACTGAAAGGAGATCCACCCTTCACTACCTGAAACTATTTGTTTTTCAATCACTTAATACTATTTTATTATTCAGTCTCTAAAGACTTATTTGTTTCAAGTCTGTACCACCATAGTCCTCACAAAATCTGGACAGAGATATGCCTCATTATATCTTATTAAAGTAGGAATGGCATGTCGTCCAATGTACAATAGAGGATTATAAATCTATTTTGGCATAAAACTGTTCCCTCTAATAACCTTTATGCTCTTGCACTCAATGTTTTGCCTAAAAAACAAACAAAAAAAATAACCAAAGGAATCTATCAAAACCAGTGGTGTAAAAATTACACACATTTGTTACTTAAGTAGAAGTATAGATACTGCAGTTTAAAAATACTCTGGTAAAAGTTGAAGTATCAGCTTGACCTCTTTGCTCAAGGAAAAGTCGTAAAGTATAAAAGTATAAAGTAACCTTTAAAACAAAAGCCAGATGCCACTATATTGATTTTAAAGCTCAATTTTTCGACTATTTCGAAAAATTCTTTGAGATAGGGCCAAGGATGAGGGAAGTCTTGTTGGTCTCCATCTCCCGATACGCTCTCGCCTGTGTC